CCTTTTGCTTTATAAGGTATGTATGCGATTTCCATCATTTCAGGCAAGTATCCATCAATTTTCAAAGTACGTAGTCTGTTTACAATTTTTTCCGCATCCACTTGACGTATGTGACCCAATAGTTTTCCCTCCAAGAAGACCACAAATAATTTTGAATTTGTATCGTGAATCTCTGATTCTAATGGTATCATTCCCATTTCAATCAAATACTCGGGTATTTTCTGTTGGAAAAAGGGAATATTAGTTAATATTTAGAGTGTCTACTTACACGCGCCACGGCAACTTTTATCGTGGATCCACGGTAAAAATTACGCCGAAAGAAGTTCTGGCTTACTTCTCCGGCAACATAGAAAGGAGAATTGTGAGTAGTAAGGGTTATAATCCCTAAGCGCGGCAGAAGGCCGCCTACCCAGAAAGAAGTTCTGTCCCACTTCTCCGGCAACACAGAAAGGAGAATTCTGAGTAGTAAGGATTATAATCCCTAAGCGCGGCCGAAGGCCCCCTACGCATAAAGAAGGCATGCCCCACTTTTCTGCCTAATATTTATTACCCGACTTCAAAAAAAAAGGAGGAATATATCAATTCGTCGTAATTTTTTTTTATGTATGTTCCGAACATTTTTGGACCACGTCAACCGACTTCTATAATTCATTTTTTAAAGGAAAGGAGGAACGGAATTTTTTTAGATCCGATAATTTGATGATGAAGAAATTAAAGGTACTCGGTTAAGTTTTTATGTGAGAATTGAAGTCGGTTGTATTTTTTGCTTAAAAATTACTTATTTTCATATTGCTTTTAACAAACCTTAACAAGTCCTTTGTCTGGAATGCGTGATATGCGACATGACACTGTTAAGTGATTAAGGAGGCCACAAGGTGCACCATCGGGCGTATGGACCGGACAAATGTAGCCCCAAGCATCGGGCAGCAACTGGCGTGCTTCTGTCGTACGCATGGTAGTAAAGTATGAACCACGATGTACTGCCCGAAAATGCGACATATATCGAATGCGATTAATATTTTCAGCCATTACTACGAGACCTGTATTTTGCATAAGGCCCAAACCAGATCGAGAAGGTGCGTTACCCGTAGCCAGAAAGGATTCCATTGCATGAGAGACACTACCTGCACTGCGTAAGCAAGCCGTAAGTAAAGTTGGGGTTATTAGGACATCTGGAGCTTCTAGACGCCTGAGCAAATATTTCTTAGCATACTGCAGCCATAAATCTACGCGATCCACTAAAAACTTTTGATACAAATGACCTGCAATATGTAATGGAAATTAAGTTAATTTTTTTCCAAATTATAATAATTAACTTTTGTTCTTTCTGTTGAATTGGGTTTCCGAAAAATGTATTTCTGTATAATTTTAAACGTGATTAAATTTAATACTCCCGGAGAAAGTGCAGGGCAGAAGAAAATTGTTGTTCTTATTTTGAACAAACTAGCTGAAATAAAATATTGTGAAAACATATTTATAACTATTTCATACCTGAAAGTAGAACTTCTTGCATCATTACAGAATCTACATTTTCAATTTTATAATTTCCTTGTGCACACTGAAACAACTTTTGAGCCATAAACACTAGCATATCAAATTTTTCTTTATGGGTGTTTAAGTGTATAAGTATTCTTTCATTAAGGATAAAATCAGTAACATCCATGTCGGTTTTCCAATCGGGTATTTCGGGAAATTTCGATCTAAAAATTTTGCCTAAATATTCTTTGCAATCTTTATGCGTGTGGAGCCCTTCACCATGTACATCCCTTAACATCGTTTGTACACATGACACATAATACTGGTCTTTTTCATATCCACGAACCAAATTTCGATATATTTGCTCATCGGTATAATCAACCAAACATCGTAGTACGAGACATATAGGCACATAAGACATCATTTTCATTTGGGAGAACATCAACTTCGCAGTTCCGTTATTGAGGAAGTGTAATACATTGTTATGCGAAGTTTCGTCTTCGCGTACTGTACGCACCATTACGCCAATTTCACTAAAGTTAGCTCCACGATCTTTCCATGTGGAGCGTTTGACAGCAATCGGGTAGTTACGTCTGCTCATAAGTAACATCCGTATAATTCTCTCATTTCCTTTGATAACAAAAGTTCCTCCCCATTCAGTATCGTGCTCCCCGTGTTTGACCATCTGCTCTGGTTTTAGCGAACCAAGATTGCATGCGCTCGACTTTAGCATAATAGGCACTTCCCCTAGTTCCACATCAATTGGAGCCTTCTTCAACCCATTAACCGTCCAGTTAACTCGCACCGTGCACATACCCATGTAGGAAGTGTGTAGTTGTCGTGACTCCGCAGGGTACGTCAACCGATTCTTTACATCTATTACAATTATCGGAACTTGAGGTCGTGCAATTTGGATACTTTCGACGCGAAGCTCAATTTGTTCTCCTGCAGGTGTCCTACAGCCAACTGGCGTCATGTACTTTGTGCAATTGGCCAAGCCATCGGAAAGCATTTCATTGAAGGAATCTAAATGCGGTGCTCCTAAATTTTCTAAATGCTATTAAGATAATAAGTAAATATTATGAAATCGAAGTCATAGAAAAAGCTTACCTCGTTAAGTTTTTCCGGATATGTTCTGAATTCAGGCCGGCTATTACTCAACGTAGGATATAGTTTCATGGTTCAATTAAAAAAATAAAAAGGGATAATCGAAACGCACGTTTTACTAGATTTTAGCCTTGAGTAGAAGTGGAATTAGGAAGGAACGATACAATAGAACTGGAAAACTATCGATAGTATCGAAGGCTTTTGACTATCGAAAAGATCGATGGTTTTGCAAGCTCTATCGATTGTTTTCACTCATTTACATTATTCAGAAATAGTAATACCATGTTCTGACCGACAACGAAAACACTTTGAAAACGATTTTGGGCTGAAGGCTGTTCAAACCGACTGTTGGTGTTTTCGTTGACATTCCTTTCATCCTTTGTTAACAGTTTTGCTACACAAAACAAAACCAAAATACTTTTCCTTCAATTTCTTTTCATTAACAACCTTTTACTTCCATGCTTACTTTATTTTGGCCAGCCAATTAACAATAAATCCGAACTGACGTATTAAAATTTATAAAATAAGTCTTCCACTTCGATAAATAATCGAAAAAAAACTAGTGCAGACACCGAATGGAATGAGTGGAACGTGAGTTTTCAAGTGGTTTTCCAGCGAAAACAAGTTTTCGTTTGACAGCTTTTACATGGACGAAAACACAAGTTTTAGGGCGAAAGCCAGTTTTACCAACGAAAACATGTTTTCGATGTCGATCAGAACATGGTATAAAGCCCAAAATACAATAGTGCAGTGACAATATGGCAGCGGTGGTTTCTCGAAATCAGCTGTTTTTTTTTGAAAGTGTGGTGTCCAAAGAAGCGACTAACGATACAGCAGTGGCAGGTGGCAGTACTGCTCAGTTTAGCCCAAGTTCTAAATTCATTGCCACTGCCTTCATCGCAGCAAACTTCGCATGTTGAATTCGACATAAATTAAACGCAGCTAACTTCTGTTGATGTCACTGAAGCCTAAAAGGCCACAACACAAATGTAAACAAAAGGGAATGTCAAAAAAAGCACTCACTGACAACGCCGTTTTGTGTTTGCTGCGGCAATGACTACCAATATTAGCAGTAACAGCTGATTTTAAAAACTATCACTGCCACTGCGATTTGTATTTGGCCTTAAAAGCCGGTGGTATCTGCTTCATCTTGTAAAGCGAAGCGCACATTGGCGCGATTCTGTCGTTGCGAATCCGCAA